TACTGGCCGTGGATTCAGTGTCGGTGTTGTCCATCACTTTACGGATCTCCTCGAGTGCTGTCAACGCATTGTCTTTATCTTCATTCATGCCATTCATTAAACTGATGGCTGTTTTCAATTTACTTTGAATTTCATTCAACATTTCCACAGCATTTGTCTCTCCATTATTCACACCAAATGTATTAATCAATGAATTCTGGGATTCATTTCCATCTGAATTAGACTCAGAATCCGCACAACTGTTTAATACCATCAAATCAAACATTAGATAATAATGAGTGAAATACAAGTTTTAAACCTTATGTTCAAAGACATCAACTCTTGAGTCAACTCTTTGTTCTCACAAATCATTGTCTCGTTTAAAGCCTTCAAAGACATCAACTCTTGTCTCAAGTCTTTCACATCCTTTACATTCATATCATTGCTGTCTTTTATCTCATCCCTCAATGCCTTCACTTCCGCCTCAAGTTTCGATGCCTTCAAAGCCAACAACTCTTCTCTCAAACCATTGCTTTCTTTTGCCTTTTGGTCCCATTCTTGGCGCACACTATCAATACAAGTGATTATCACATGTATTGTCACACAAATGGCCACAAAATATGACACAAACCTCGACTTCAAACCATTGAACTCCAGTTTGAATACCGGAGTGATGGGGCCGTCAGTGAAAAACTTTTCGACGCCTTTCCCCCAATCATTCATGTCTTTCCAAACATTCCAGAAGTTTTTATCCACTTTATGACAAAATCTATGAATAAAGATGAATACAATTAACTTAAATGTCATAAAACACACCCAAATGTATGCATCAAATATGAATACCTGTCCCAATCAGTGCGAGCCATAGGTCCAGCCATTGATGACAACTTTGTTTCGTTGATTCACTCAAACAATTCAAATGTCACACAATTTGCTAACAAATGGTTAATCGATGGCTAATCACATGAAATTGATGTGTGTTTTGAAGACAGCCTTTCCGGAAACGGATAACACATTGTGTTTAAGGATTGTTAATATATTACATATCATGTCATAAATGGGTTCATAGGGTTGGGAAGGGTTTGTAAGTATAATAGTATTGTATAAGTGTTTTAACTTATAAGGGTTTAATAAATTACACAATATTTGGTATGTCTTATATGAACTCATTATTCAATGAAATTCATTGAAATATTTG